TACCCTAGAGGTAGAACAATAATGCACAGAATGTCATTTTAAATCTTTAGTTCCACACCTGATTCTACAGCTTCATACAATACTGTTTACTAATGTCAAATATTTACTCCATTAAAAACATCTGGGATATTGTTTCTGTGTCTCCCTGTGAGATTTTAAAGCCAACACACAGGAGAGGTCAAACGGTCAAAAGTGATTATCACAATTAATTTATATCAGCACCTGTCAGAGGGAAACTCTGGTTTAGGAGGCCCAAAAGGTCACGAGACTCTTCTGGATTCTTCTTCTTGTTCCTCCATCTCCTCCTTCTTATGTTTCTCTCCTGGATAAAAGATAAATGAATGTGTTGTAGTTATTGACATTAGAAGAAGAGTTGCAGCTTGAAACTATAAAATATTTACCTTTTGCAGCAGATCGTTGATGATACGTCTTGTTTTGTAATCCTGCTGGTGCTGAACATCATCCTAAATACATTTTTTACAAGTTAGAATTGAGTTTATTAAGCAAAGAAAGGCCGGAGAGTGGGATCCTGCGGTGAGCAGAAATCTTTGTTAGCTCTACACTGCCTCCTCCTGGAGAAGAGGAGTAGTAAACATAGACAATAGTGAGAAACTCTTCAACCCGCCAGTGAAATTCCCAAAACTTAACAGTAAAAATGTAACTTTTTATGTTCACTTTGAATTGCACTAGTGAAATTCCCAAAACACAATTTTGTTTATTTTACCAAATTTCTTTAACTATATATGTCACCAAACAATATGTGAATATTTGAATATAGAAAATAACGCATTTTGCTGTTTATCTTAGTTCTAAATTACATAAGAAAAAAAAAACATTCTTGGCTAAAATGAGAAAATACATTTCATGTTTCAGTTGTCAACAGTACCATTTAATTGGGTTACAGATATATAAAAAATATTGCTGCATATACTATATGTTTCACCCTCAGCTCTGCAGCACAAGTTAGTAATTCATTATAAACTCCTGCTGTGACGCTCCTGGTGAAGCCACAGCAGGACTGTTCGGTTCACTCTGCAGGAGGTGGCAGGAGGTCATTTCTGGACTCAGGATCTCAATCCAGTAGCCGTCAGGGTCCTGGATGAAGGCCAAGCCTTTAACTTTACCTAAAAGTTACACATTTGACATTAAACACGGTTAACATTTATTTAACAATGCCTTATATTTACTTGTCTTAAAGTGATAAAATGATGATGATAATAAAAGAATTATCATTAACTTTTCATATCGTCGTCATCTTCCAGCTTCTTGACAAATGTGACTCCTTCCTCCTGGAACAGTCGACAGGCAGCAAAGACGTCAGGAACGGTGATTCCGATGTGTCCTGTGAAAATGTCAGGTGGAGTTAAATCCAGGGCTGGGGTGTTTATTTAATTCTCTGTGCTGTAGATTCTTTTTTTTAAAATCATTGGAGATTCAAATAAACAATCAGCGATCAGATGATAGTGATGACTAATGTGACGTGTCATTATGAAAAGGTTAATTCTCTGTGCTGTAGATTCTTTTTGGAGATTCAAATAAACAGTCAGTGATCAGATGATACTGCTGACTAATGTGACGTGTCATAATGAAAAGTTTTTATCTTTTATACATCAAATATTTACCGTAACCTAAACTTTAACCTTAAAGTTAATGAACATTATTAACATGTAACATAACAAAGTGCATGTTCCTCATGCAGTCAGAGTTCTGTTCTGTTCTGTTTCATAAAACGTGGCTGTATTTGAGGTCAAATCCCGAGGTCAGGCTGAATGTTTCATTTATTTCATTACATCTACTGTGGATTTTAATGGTCCAATAAAGTAGTGTGAACCTGGATCTTACCAAATCCATGTGGATCAGAATTTCCATTGTGATAGGACTGACTCTCGTCAGACTCAGAACCCCAGTTACTGGACAGGCAGAACAAGAAAGAGAAAGGAAGTTCAGTCAGTCGGTATATACTTTAAACTATTAATAATTAAACTGTGAAAAAAATATATACATATATATGTACAGTAGGCACATACTGTGTCAGCTCAATAGTGGCCCTCCTGGAAAACATCCATGCCATCCTCTCCGTCACATCTGTAGGAATATCGTTCTTGTCCTCGTAACCCAAGAAGAAGAGTGAGAAATGCATGGAGGGGAAGTCAAACTTTTGCAGCAGCCTGTGAGAATTTGTAGAGCAGAGAAAATATTTAACAACAATAATGCAACGCAGTAACGCTGCCCTCAGGTCAGAATGTTAATAATTGATAATTTTTACTATCAAACATCTTTAAAAAAAAGTGAACTTAAGAAACACAATCTCAATAAACTATAAATCCGTCCAATCATTTAGACTCCAAGAATTGCGGCACATCTTAAAAGAGAAAATTCAGATTTTTGCAGTATCATGCAAAAATTTGCACACTCTTGAGAAGAATTCCGTACAAGAACAGTTTTAGAAGAAGACAGAGTTACTGTATCACGGCCGACTCCACAGAAACACACGATATACTTACGTCATTCCGAGTATCCTGGTATAGAAATCCAGGGATTTTACCGGATCTTTAACCCTCAGCATCGTCTGCTGCATTATGAAATCCTGGGATGTAAAGACAGAACATTAAAGATAAAAAAGAGTTTAACATTCACTTCACCGAAGCTTCTGTGCTGTAAACATCAATCATAAACACAGACGAAAAACTTATGGAAAGATGGTTTCACGTCAACACAAACTACATTCAGATGAAGTTTCAGGAACAGAATGAACTGTGAAGTTTTAAGTTTTATTTAATCTCAGAAAAGTCAGAAAACTACCACTACTTCCTAATAAACAGTAAATAAGTCAGATAAATTTCCAGTCAGAGGAATATATGTCCTGTACATATAAACAAAATAATCTCAGAAAAGTCAGAAAACTACCAGTACTTCCTAATAAACACTAAAAAAGTCAGATCAAGTACAGTTACAGTTCCAGTCGGAGGAATACATGTCCTGTACATATAAACAATACTTGTGCGTATACATTTGGAAAAAAAAATGCATGAAAAAATAAAAGAAACACCATAATCAATCTTACCTTGGTCATTGGATCCCCATCTTTACAAGCTTCATAAACTTCTTCATCTGACAGACCTTTATCATTCATTTTCCCTCAGTGATAAAGTGATGAGCTGAGCTCCGGCTGAATCGACTTTCTTCTTCTACAACCTTTAAAAAATGGCAGTTAGGAGTAAATGACGCCTTTCTTTTTTTTTTTTACAGATATGTGAGGTTGTAAAATCCCAAAGTCATTGATTTATATCCCCGTCACAGCTTTGTTAGAGTAACACTGCCCTCACCTGGAGAGGAAAAGTAACACTCAAGCGCTCACACCTTGACCTCCTTCATCACCACCAACAAAATGCCAAGACACTAATCTTTTGTTTGTCTTTAGAGTATTGTAACTGTGACAGAACCTACACAGTGAAAAATCTGAAAAAAAAAACACCTCACAATATCAAAAGTTTAAACAGATATTCCTCTTTACTCACTGTCTGCTGCTTGAATTTTGGAATAAGGAACATTTTGGTGCTGATCAGTATTTCAACATTTCATGTGTGTATGAATGAGTCTTCTTCATGCTACTGGACTTGGGTTGCATTCTTGGCAGTATGAAGTGGACTTGACATTAAAGTGACACAAAATAGAACAGGAGCTGGAGTCAGGTTCTCGTCAGGCACTAACTGAGCCACAGGACTCATGTCAGAGGTTGGTCTTAGGTCTAAGTTGGAATTATTTATGCATTTAGCAGACACTTTTTTTTATCCAAAGCAACTTACGAGAGGAGGATTAACAATCCAGCGTGTGTTTCCTCTGGAAATCGAACCCAGGACCTTCTGCTCTCTGCTTCCAATGGAGGCGAGCTAACTGCTACACTATGGAACAAACTAGGATGAATTATTCAATTCATTGATATATGAAATTGTTTATCATCCTGTTACGAGTATAAATTTATATTTATACATGCACATAACAGGATAATAAACAATTTTATTTATTGTGAACAGTATATTGAATATAGTATATTTCTGGGCGGCTGGAATTAATTGGTTTTTAGTTATTTTTAATTGGGAAAATTCAATTGAGATACGAGTGAATCGACACACGCCTGCTGTTGTGCACTCGTATCTAGGGGCTCCACTGTTTCTATACACAAAAATATAAATATACCAAATTAAAAAAAAATCAAAAAGGTGCAGGTTTCACGTTTATTGCACATTAACATTGTTTTTTTATTCTGAAATCATACAAACCTATCGCAGAATACCAGCTACACCGAGCAGGTCAACTCAAAAAAAATATGTCACCTATTTAGTCGTCCACCCAGATTATTAGTCCAGCTCATGCAAAGGCACACTGACTGCCAACGTGCAACTGATCCTGCTCCATTTCCCACTCTGCTCTCCGGTACAGTTTACTAAATGCATCACTAAATCCCAATGGTTTGCCCTCTTCCTCAGTGAAGCTACAGCAGATCCGGCCTGGTCACATTCCATTTGTTTTTTTTTTTATGAGGTAATGGACACCATGTTGTTTGGACTCAGGATCTCAATCCAGTAGCCGTCAGGATCCTGAATGAAGGCGAGGCCTTTCATCTTACCTGAAAATACATACATAAATAAATAAATATATAAATAATAGCAAATAATAAAAAAGTTTCCAAAGTGCATAGTTTGTCATTGTTATGATTTAAATAATGCACAGAATGTTTCTTGTACTGAAATTATTTCAATTCATCCACTGTACAACTTGTAGAATTCAAATATTCAAGATGGAGTTTTTTTACATTTTTTATTCTACATTTTTCATCTCCATCTTTCGTTGTTTTTTTATTTTTAATTTTCACACAACGATCATCTTTGATTAGCCTTACATTAGCCTAATATTGTCAATAATGTTGAATCAAAGTATTCTGACTTCCATTGTCCCCTTTCTTTATAATCTAAAAGTAAAATCTAAATCTAAAAAAAAATCCAATCAAAGTATTCTGACTTCCATTGTCCCCTTTCTTTATAATCTAAAAGGTTAAAAATAATGGTCAATACTGTTTTATCCAGAAAACATTTCTCTTCTCACCATCATCTGGCTTCTTGACAAACGTCACTCCTTGCTTTTCAAACAGTTCACAAGCGGCTGTTACGTCCGGAACTGCAATTCCGATGTGTCCTGTCAAATCACAAGAGAGAGACGAGGAAGTTCAGAGGTGATCTCCAGGTTGGCTCAGCAAAATGGAAGAAAAACAAGGATTTATTCTTACACCTATTAAAATAAATGACTAGTTCTACAATGTATGGAACTAGCAGATTTTATTTTTATTCAAGTGACTGTCTTGGTTGACAACAAGGATTTATTCTTACACCTATTAATTAAAATAAATGACTAGTTAGTTGTAAAAAATAATAGTGTGCAGATGCAGTTAGTATATGACAAAAACATGTTGTGACAAACTGCCTATTTGTAAAGATTGTGTTTTCCAAAAGAAGTCCGTCTCTAACCAACCAAAACTCTGTTTGACAGTAGCGTGATCTTACCAAAGCCTCTGGGATCAGAGTTTCCATTGTGATAAGACTGACCCTCCTCAGACTCAGAGCCCCAGTTACTGTTGAACACGACAACAGAGAGAAGCTTCGATCAGAGTAAATAAAAACACACATGATAACAACTAAAACCCATCGGCGCTAAAGCTGGTGCTTCACCATAAAATAACCTGTGACGAGTGAGAATTTACTTTGGAAAATAGTGTTCAAATATTGGGATTAAACGCTGATGTTGGATGAAAAAAAAAAAACTGCTAAAATGTGCAATGCAGTAAAATGACAAGATCCTCTCCCCTCCGCTGTTGCAGAGCAGCAGGGAGGATTAAACCTAAAAATGTACTGTTCCGTGGTATTTTGGGCACAAAGCATTTTCCCTTTGTCACTTCATGGGAGTATATATCTTAAGAATCCTACTGTGTCAGCTCAATGGTGGCTCGTCTGGAGAAAGTCCAGCCAGTCCTCTCCTTTACATCTGTAGGAATATCATTTTTGTCCTCATAGCCCAAGAAAAAGAGGGAGAAGCGCAGAGAGGGGAAGTCAAACTTCTGCAGGAGCCTGGGGAAAATTAGCACAGAAGAGAGAAAAGTATATATATATATATGTGTGTCACCATGTACAGTTAAAAAAAACAACTGTCTGTTAAAATCCAGTTGAGGTGCGGGAACGCTGACTCCTCAAGTCCACAACAATACTCACGTCATGCCGAGGATTCTGGTGTAGAAATCTAGAGATTTTTTTGGATCTTTAATCCGCAGCATCGTCTGCTGCATCTTAAAATCCTGAAACAGAACCATGAGGAGAATGTGCTGAAATATCAGTCGTCATTATGCATGACTTAAAAGAGAGTGAACTATACAAAAACATGTACATTATAAATTAATAGGCTTCTTTAAACATTTAAATTTAGGCCATGTTTTTTTTGTTTTCAACAGGTTGATTTCAGACAAAAAACACTATTCATAAAAATAACACATTATTACCTTTCTCGTTTCCTTACTTTTGACACACATATGACACTGATGGACACATTCCAGCCGGTAGGTGGCAGTAAAGCTGAGATTTGTTTGCCAGCCAGATATATGTAAATAAATAACATCAAAATACAAAAAATGTGGACACATGATCTGCTGAGGTTTTTATTGAATCACATTTGTCTAGTTAATTACAAAGCAAAAAAAAAAGTTTTGGGGTTAAACAAAGAATGCTGAGAACAGATAAGAAAGGTAATGGTAGTGTCTCTAGACACAGTGTCTCTTGTTGAGGAAATCATTTTTGCTTTGTGAGATGTGAACACATTCCTTAGGCTTCAAAAAAAAAAAAGAAAAAAGAGAGAGATTAACTTCAACAGCAGTGATCTGCATCTAGAACATCCGAATGAACCAATGTACTGTAAGACAAGTCAGGTACAAACTTGTCTCCCACTTGTGTCTATTTGATATAGATGTCTAGAGGTAAAAAAGTCGTTGCTGACTATATAGACTTATACAGTACTTGTATGTTTGCCTTAAGTCGTTAATAAGAACCCACTCGACGCAAGGGATGTTTAACTGCCATTATTTCAAATAATAATTAAAAATGCTGCTACACGTCGTGACTCATATTTGATTGACAAAACGAAACGGTTCTTCCAGAAGGTCCCAGAAAGTTGTGGTACTAATTTTAAGTAATGTGTACTAGTCAATTGCAGAAGCTTTTTCTTGTAGCCTCGCCTGTTTACTGTAACATACATGTTTTTAACTCAGGTCTGGAGTGACCGCGCCTAAATACCATATCTCCAGGTTGGACAGCTCTCGCGATATGTCAGCGCGGGGTTATACGTTATAGCGTGGTGTTAGCTACTCACGCGAGACAGCACCGGCTAAAGCAGCCCTGTGAGGAAGCCACCCATTTAAAATATTTTACTTTTATGGTCAACACAACAAAAGAGCAACCATTATGATTATAAACACGTTTAAAATACATTTTTCTGTTACTGTGTTATGCACGGACACTGGCAAAGCAGCAGGCAGTGGCCTGTCAACCGCAGGATGTCGGTTTAGGAATGTGTGGAAATACTATTATTTACTTTATAAAGAAACCAGTGTCACCTTACCTTAGTTATAGGGTGTCCATCCGCACAAGCTTTAGTGACTTCCTCGTCTGACAGACCTTTGTCGCTCATTTTTCCCGGACAGACGCGTTAAAACTTCACAGCAACTCACTGACGACGGAATGGACTGCTCTGAGGTTCCAAGTTTTTACAGGAAGAGTTTCTTGAGTCGGATTTCAAAATAAAAGCTCATAATAATAACCATTTTCATCAGTGGGAAAAACATTAAACATCATTTTACATATTATTAAGAAGTTCGTTTAACTTAATATCACAGACAAACTAAAACTGAAAAAACAAAAAAAACTTACGTTTTTGTGGCTTATGTTTCAAACTGGCGATGGTTGCTGAGAGGCTTGATGATGTAACATGGATGATCTGTGAATCATTTTTGGCATCCTGGCAGAGAGCATAGTGTTAGAAGGAACATCATCCCAATGAAGCTTCTACACACACACTGTAAGTCTCAGACTTACGTCACAGTGACCAGTGTTGGATCACCAGCAGGGATTTGTGGTACTGCACAGACAGAAAGGCCTCGTGGCTCCAGTGTAATCCAGCTGCTGATCCGTTGTTGCAACAGGGTGACTATGTTGGTGTGACGTTGGTCACAGAAAACAACTTTAACCTATAACAAACTATAACCTCCTTTTTTATTTGCCTCCACACAAATACATTTTTGTCACAAGAACAAAGTAATTCTTACAAAAAAATCGTTCTCGATCATTCGAGAACATTGTTAAAAGCACAGCTTCCATTGTTACTCAATGATCTATGAAGATAAAATCATCTGTATCTTCATCTAACTATTAATGTTTGCTCTTTATCTTTCTGCACTGTAGTAGTAACGATACTGTATGTGTCCAGTAGGTGGCATTAATGTGTTTGGTATTGTAGTTTCTGTTTTGACATCCTACAGCTCTCTTTGCAGCTACAGTACTACATTTGTACATAGTGTTGAACTCATCCATTAAAATCCTGGAACTAAAAAATAAATAAATAAAAAAACACATTACGTCATGATCAATTAAATATTTGGCGGTACTGTAAAAAATCAGGTGTAAGATTGAGTAATTCTGTTCCAAACACATCAGATTAAAAGCATATTTGCAACATGCAAATATTTTTTTGTGTGTGCAAAATTCAGCAATAAAAATCCAAGGTTAGATTCTTCTTTTCTTTTATATAGTAGCTCAGTTCATCGGAATCAGATTGAGACGTGGACCTCCTCGCGTGCTGGGGTGAGGTGGCTGGGTCTGAAGTCTGAGGCGTGACATTCAGGCCGGCGTTGACCTTCGAGTCCAGGAGAGTCTTTCTGATCTGCTGGTTCTCCCTGGTGGCAGCCTGCCACAGCACCTCCAGCTCCTCCTCTATTTCTCTGAGAGAGAAGAGGAAAAAGGAAACCAGTCAGTCGATCTGTCTATATTTAGTCAGCTCGAATCATGTCAGGTTGACACGCAAAATGAAAAATAACTCACAGAGAGTTCAACAAGAACAAAACAACAAGAGTGAGGAGTGCACCAAACTGAGAGGAGCAATTAAACCAAGTACAGTGTGACAGAAAATACTGTAAAGTAGGGACTCACAGTGAATACACAGCATGAGTTTGTCTTTAATATTCAAGGGGAAACAAAGTGACTAAGAGTCGATTAAATTCATGACGGTAGATATTATATTTATACCCGTGGAGTTTAAACAACCTTATCGCCTGGAAATTAAACTTGGTTTAGTACAAGGTCGCAATTCTTTGTCCAAGAAAATTCTTATAATTTATTGAAGTTATGATTAAAGAGTAGAAATAATTAAACAGAAAGACATAATCAAGCCTTTTTTTGCTATTCTTTATGAATGAAAAGAACACCTTTATTCAATAATGACCCTTTCCAAACGTATCGCATCACAGTTTAAAATGAGATTTTTAAGTTACATTTACCACCTGTTCAGATATTACATTCACATAAAACATTAAGTTGAAAATTCAGCTTCTCAGTGGTACAGTTTAAAGGTGAAATTAAATTAAACATTAATTTAGCTACGCCAGCAAAAGCAAAAGAAAAATCCAACACAATATTTTATAAATAAAAACACATCAGGCACCAACACACTTCACAGTTTAGGCCATAAAATATCAATTTGTCCTGTGATGTGAGATGGCTACAATAATCACCTCCTCATCTGAGAGGATCTCTCAGCTATGACACAAAAACACTTAAACGATCACAGCAGGCACAGAAAAACCCAAGTGTTTCTATATAAAGTATAGCAATCACCGTGTTTACTCGGCGTGCCACATGTCCTGCATTCAGATGCCGTGGAAACAACCTTCATACAAACACTTCTAAAATTCTCTTCTGAAAGTGCTCTTGAAAAATGAATTATTACCTTCACAGAGAAATCAAGGTGCTGTGATTTAATTAACCAAAGTAACAATGACTGAATATATACAGTATATATACAGTATATAAAAATTCACAGTATATATACAGTATATAAAAATCTTTTCACAACTTGACTTTAACACAAAACTGATATACACACAGGAATTGAAGAAAGACACACAGATCTTCTTCAACAGCTGTCTCTTAGTTTATAGCCACTAGGTGGCCACAGATCTTCTTCAACAGCTGTCTCTTGATGATCACAGATGAGTTGGATTTAATTGTTCTGCCAGTTACTGTCACATAGACAAACCAAGACAGACTCAATTATTAGTCGTAAATAAATAATAATGTTCAGAGCAATTAAGTGAAATTGATGATCTCTCATGACACAGTGGTTGGGAATCGCTCGTTATTAGGTCTTGTCATTCCATTCACCAGCAGAGGGCTGCAGTGAGAATGGCAGATGTTTCCACAGTCACAAAAGGCCCTGAAAACCTCTAGACCCCAAAAGACCTGGGTGGTCTATCAGACTCAAAGACAACATTTTTTTAACCAACGCAAAAAAATTCAAAGCCTCCTGCATTCTTTATAATGTCCTCCGCTGAATTTTTATAATCTCTCAGATACCAACGTTGCTAGATCTTTTTTATTTATGATGTGAAGGCCTTGATCTTACCTTGTGACTTCCAAAGCAGTTTATAAAAAAATTAATTTTTCTGAACCCACATGTGGACTACTAAATCATTTGCAAAAAAATAGCTTTAATTATAGACACACTCACAGCCACAAATACTGTAAATTTGAGTGCTTCAAAAAAGAAGAAAACAAATTAAAACTGTTAACGGGATGAAAAAGGATGTTCTCGTGCAACACGTAAGACGCACGTGTGCACGTTGAAACAATTAACAGCTTGCTATTTCACACACAGACACTGAGAGACAGAAGGATAAAGATAATGGAAGAGAATAACGGCTCCAAGGAGACAGCACGTAATTACCTGTGTGTGCTGTTATTGTCATAATGGCTGAAACACCAAAGCTTGTCTCTCAGATGCTGTTCACGCGTCAGCACCTGAAGTAATCAGCTGCCCTGTCTTGACTCACTCAGATGATTATTACAGAGGTGGGAACATTGGCATTAACCTAACAGGGGCCAGCTGTAAACTTTGTGTAAGATGACGCAACACACAGTGTGTGTCACCCCACGACCGCGGGGATAATTTACAGTAATGGCATCAGTCGGATTCTAGACAAAATGACTGATCATAATTTTGAAACAGCTGAAAAAATGAATGGTCTTGGTCTAGGTTTTGCTTATAGGAAAACAGTATCTGAGTATCAATTTTTATATTGAACAAGGATTAATTATCAGTATAACACATGAATTGAGTTGTTTTTGTTTTTTTAAAAGAAATTACTGTGATAAACATCATAGAAAAGCCAAGAAAACTAAAGATATTTAGGTTTTTTTTAACATGAACCTGGGAAAACAGAATTAGTTTATTGTTAAAAATAACAATGTACTGAAACAAATAAAAAAGTTATAAATGAGTCAATTACCAAATAAATTGAGTTGACGACCTTGTCAAATAAAAAAAATCACATTTTTAAAATAATAATAATTATGATTATGATTAGTTTTCTCAGTTTCAAATCTGACATTTTATCCATTATTTTAAACACTGTTACTGAACTGTGATGTTTCATCCTCGTCAAAGTTACTGTTTAAAACCGAGCATCGTGGTGGAGTACTAAATATGTAATACCAGTGAAGGCATGTGAATTAATTATGAGAACTCTGAGTCGACTGTGGGCTAGAAAAAAAGGCAAACATCCTCATTTCTAATTAATGCTGTTTTTTTTTCTTCCTCCACTCTGTACTGGTAAACATTGTGTCCCTGATCTCCGCTGACTAAAGACCCTCAAAAAAAAAAAAAAATTAAACCCCAAATCTGCTAATTACCTGCAGCCCAAACAGCGTGCTCACACAGGTTACCCTGAGCAACAGCCGTCACCGTTTCCTCAGAAGTTACTCAGACACAACACAAAGCTGAATCACGACGCTGCAGGAGACAGGAAGTTCATTAGAAGTGTGTGTGGGTGGGATTTAGGTGAGATTAGCTTGGGTGACTGGTGGCCAAACAGCTGCAGGTTGACCTCAGCAGCAGCAGCAGCAGCAGCAGCAGCAGCAGCCGCAGCAGGAGCACCC